TACCATTAATTGTTTCGACAGCCCCTGACGCCAGTTGCATGCATGTTTAGGGTTCCAAATGACATAAACCAATGGACATCTTGTATGTGTGTCTTTGAATTCCAACGTCCTTCAAAGATAGTACAACCCTGTCCCCGTGGTTTTATGCACCACGCATAATTTAGCAAAATTTGATCATTTTTTGCATAATTTCTGATTATTTTCCTTTATTATCCTTTGATAAAATTAACAGAATCGTATAATTTCACATTTTTGGGCTCAGTTTGCATAATTTCAGAATTTTTCTTGCATAAAACAACGGGGACAGACAACCTCACAACTCACCCCCTCCTCTTCAGAAGTTCAAGCTTTTTTCGCACACGAAGCCTCAAGGGCATCTATGACTGATAACATGCATTGCAGCTTTACGGAAATAAAGAACAAGTTGTTGGAAACAGGAGAAAAGAGTGCGTTTTTACCTTTATTGTGCCACTCTCAGTGTTGACAATGTCTTGATGAGAGGAGACATACATGTACATATAAATATAGCCTAAAGTTAGACTGGAATCATATTATATTTTTTTGTTTTTTAAAGTGTATTATGTCCACATGTTTTTCTTCTTACTGCAGTGACACAACATTCCGTCAGTAATGTTTGTAACTTTCACAGTTATTGAAATATAACTAACATGACAAAACAGTCCAGATCTTGTTTCTAGATGGGAAATATTTTGACCACATAATCTTCGTGCTGGACATATTGCTACCTCAATTCCTGAGCAAGAAAAGGAACAAAATTACACATTTTTGGACAGAAAAACATTTTTTTTCTCAATTCCTACCCAAGTTTATGTAACAAGTAGACTCCAGGTTAATCCATCAAAGGTATGACCATGCTCTAGAAGTTCTCAACTTACAACAAAATCTTAAAAGCTGAACTGAGAGTCTATAAAGAAAAGAAAATATTACATTTTATGTAAAAAGTATTTACTTAACTCTTTCCATACCAGAGATTTTCCCCCCAGCTCTGTGCCAGGCCAGTGTGGTGTTCATTTAATGTGATGCTGGGACAGCTAAGGTCATTTATGGGACTTACTTTGTCCATGTCAAAACTGACCCTTGTTCCACCAACATGTTCCATGAGAGTTATTATTTCTACTTAACATAGAAAAATGTCACAAGCCAAGAGAGAGGAATAGAAAGGAGACCAACGAAAAGAAAGAGTTAAAAAGTGCTTTGGCTTTTTATAAAGCTGTGCTCACAGTATTTGAGCAAACAAGCACCCGTTCAAAACATCAAATAATAATGTTATAACTCTTAGAATTTGAAGAAGAGACAGTTACAGTGACCAACTGATTATTCTGTGTGACATAGAAGGATTGTTTAGTCATTTCATTAAGCAATACATGATAACAGTTTTGGTAAGAAATTCTTCAAGTACATAATTCAGTCAAAGCATCAGCATGCTACATATGTCATATTGATGGGCTATCATCATACATCACTAAATGATAGTCTACATATTACAAAGATGTTATGTGAAAATAGGAGTGACTAGATACATAAAAGATCAGCATGTGTTTGAAAAGAGAAGTGTGAAGCACAAACAAAATACTGCAAAAAAAACACAGCAGGCATATAAAGTGTTCCAAAAGCACATCATTTGTGTCATGACGTGAGGAATCAGGCGCTCATTAATATCTGGGCATTTGAAAGTTTGGTGACCTCTACAGCTTGTGAGTCCTTGAAAACTGCAAATTTAAATTAGTTTGTGCCTTCCATCCATGTTTTTCAGTAAAATCCCCTCAGATATGTGTTCTTAAATAAAAGGTGTTGAGCCCCCCCAAACAAAGTTCCAATAGGAATTACCCAACCCATGGAAACATATTATTATCAGTTTCTTTATTTTCAATAATATGACAAGTGCCTGATTTCAACACGATTGTTCACATGTCATATAAGGTTATAACAAGAAATACCTTCTCTATATTTTGCTTCTCTCCTTACTTAAAATTTACTTTGCTTTAAAAGCAAAACAGCAGCAAACTGCTCATATTTTCCCCCTCAATATTATTTGCCAATAGTTGAGATATCACCTTTTTTTTTTTAACATTTCATTCGGTACACATTACATGCATTGATGTTTGCTATCCACTGTTATGATAAATTAAAAGGCTTGAATTGCCTTTGTTTGTTTAAGTAAAGAGAAGCACATTGACACAGTCATGGTTATTCAGTGCAGGGAAAAAGTAAGAAAGACAGACAGAACCAACAGAAGGAAAGTGTAGAAGTGTGACCAACAATAGCACCCTCCATCCACTCGCATTTACATGTTAAATTTTCTAATGAAGAACATGACCGATGAGTTGTTAGTAGAAAAGTCCCTGCCACTACTTAAGAAAACGTCTAAATTCTACACGATGATTAAATCATTTAGAAGATCAGGCGCTGATCAGTCTGAATGGGTGGTTAGAGAAAATAGAGTGAATAGGTCACAAACAAAATTAATCTACACAGCTGCTCCCAAACATCAGAAAGTAATACAAAGCAACATCTTCAGCTATCAAATATAATGACCACTTCAAAATGAGTAATTTGAGGTGAATTTTCATACACTCATGCTGAATTGGTACTGACTCATAGAAGTGCAATATATTGACTTGTGCAATAGTTTTTTTCCTGTTTTTCAAAGACTTGCTTTCACAGACACAACGAGTTTGGGGGTTAATAACTATAGACCCACTGTACATCAACAGGAGATGCAACCCCTCTCATGAGGGAGTATCAAACAAGCTCATCTTTGTTCAGATATTCAGAAATTTACTAACTGTATAATATCTACCCTCTTTCTTTCCTTTTTCAGATCAAAGTGGCTTCAAAATGACCTACAGAGGCGTAAAACCAATTCTTAAAAAATAAAACAAAAACAGTCTACATTATAATAGTTGTGTACTGCTATGGCAATGGCACAGGCAGAAAAATACCATCAGGGTCGCAATATATAAGTTTTCTCCTTCTTTTTCTTGGAAAATATGTAAAGTAACCACTTTCGTCAAGTGCAGGTAAGTATGAGCTTCGATATGTGTCTAAAAACACTGGTGTGTACAGGGAATACTTATGTCCCCAATAGCGTTGAGTTTCCTTACCAATAGGGGAAGGCACTGACCGGAACACGTCATTCTTTTCCCTGAGTCTATTTCTTGCTTCCATGATTTTCTGTCGCTCCATGGCCAAGTTCCTACAGGGCAACAGACAATAAAGCAACAACAAAATTTTTTTTTAATAGAAGAGACAAAAACAATACAATTCTATCCAACCATTTTTACAGACATTATTATAAAACAGTAAAACAAAAAGTTAAAAAAGGACAGAAAGCGTTTTGGCAGCACTAAAAACGACAAATTAGGAAATGGATTTTTATGATGTTAAGGTATCAACCTACATTCTGGTATACTCAGGTCAATTAGAAGTCAAAGGTCTAGGTCCAGAAACCAGAGAAAAGAAAAATAAAGAAAAAAGGAAAGAAGGAAGAGACGCTATGTCAAAGAACAGTCGAACCTGCTCTAACCACCACCTGGATAAGACAATCACCTGTACACAAGACCGCTTCCCATTTCCCCTTTGCATTTCTTTTACATTATATTGCCACTGAGTATGACTTCCACCTGTCTCAGATGGCCATTTTTTTCTATTCAACAATGGGTGGCCGTCTTCAATAATTTCAACTGTATACAACATAATGTGCTTTTGAGCAAGCAGTTCTAAATGTGTTCTTTCACCATATAAGGGGTTATACATCTTATGAAGTAAGTACGTTAAGTTGTAAACAGTGAAAGTTTTACATAGGCATCATTCAGGTGGCCACCTCTTATGGCCCTACCTATCATGGACAACCTATGATCATTTTTAGTTATAATTGTTGAGGATTTCTAGGTAAGAATACAGCATCCACCATAACTTTTTCAGTCACTCTTACAGAAGTGTACTGCACCTCCTGACCTTTTCATACATTAACAATAATGTAATTGTTAGAAGGTTTGTTCACCATTATACTAATGAACATTAACAATAATGTAATTGTTAGAAGGTTTGTTCACCATTATACTAATGAACATTAACAATAATGTAATTGTTCGAAGGTTTGTTCACCATTATACTAATGAGTTGACTATTTCACAGATAAAGGACAAGAAAGACTTGACAGAGTATGCTATAATAATTGAAAAAGCATATTTGGTCACAGGACGCAAACAAATCCCCAAAATGTATGCTTACATGAAAGCAGATTATTCAAGATGAAACAGAATGAGACAACTGTATACAGAATGCATGGCTTTAAGTTTCTTTGTCAGTGAATGTCCTTGAAAACAAGTACATGATTTTCTTAAATCCCTGGAGACATCAACATGCACTTCAGCACTGCAAGACACACAGGGCCCTGAGACAGGAAATGTGGCCAACTCCACTGACGCTACAAGAGAAGCTATATGGGCCGCCAGATGAACTGAGCAGGACGGCCCAATTTATGACAGATACCGGACTTCAAGTGTGATGCGATCGAGAAGAAGAAGATCAACATGCAAATTATATCCACTTTTTTTTCAGACAGAGTAAGACAAAAAGATTTTTACTGCTTACTTTATTGTGGCAGCTTTCTTCGCCTGTGATTTCTGGAATTCTTTCGTCCTTAAAGTCATAACCTCCTCCAAAATTTTGCTAGTTGACGGACTGGGACCTGTGACAGAAAAACAAACAAAGAAACCCATTGTATTGATCAATTACTCAATGGTAAAAAAAAATAAATATAATCCCCCATTAGGAACTACTTGACTTCACATGCAACATTCGAGGTCACTATGGGGATCATAGTAGGGTCACAATTATATCTGTCAGGGAAAGGAAACAGCATGCAGCGATCTGAAGACCAAGGGAGTTGAATTTAACTTTTACTGATTTCATAATCATGTCAGATATCAGACAGGTAAATGCTCTCTGAAGTTTTTGTTGGGCTCATTGAGACAGTGATGACCATTTCTGATCAGCAATATTTACAGGAGTTATTTTTTTTCTTTGTCTTTTTCTTCTCAAGATTGCCATTAGGTAACAAAATGAGATCAAATCTATCCAATTAACCAGAGAATGAATTCATGAAGCTTTTTTTACAGTATGATAAGGTTCAGGTCAACTTTACCAAATACTTTGAATTTAAGATCCAATATCTGTAATTTATTTAGGTTCAAGATATATTCAGCTGTAAGAGATCGATTTTTATGATCAAACAGTTACAAGTTAGAAGAAACAAATCTGGACCAAAGATATTCACTATTGTTGCATAGCTAACCAATAACATAGAATTGCCCTTCCCCTTTTTGGTAAAAAAAATCTATCTTCATATCATTAGCGTCAAGGTTTGAGAACTCGTTAAAAGGCTAAAATAATACAGGACCAGGTTTAATAGTGAATAGTCAAACTCTTATTATACTTTTCCTGTATTTCACTAAACTATCCTCTGCTGCCTCAGGAAAAGTATGTGCAATTGGATGTGCAGTTGCCCGTTTACTTCACACGCACTTAAAAACATAACTACCCTACAATTAGATCATCATGGCCAGAACCGTGAAGAAAGCCTGATTCCACTGTGTCATGACCCATTGACGAGAGTAGGTCTACACCCATCCATAATAAAATAATAATTGCATTTATAATAGCGCATATCCATGCTCAAGAGCATGCTCTATGTGCTTTACAGCTATTATTACCCCAGCAGACCCTGTGAGAACACTCAGAAACATTCTCGGCTTCCGCGGAAGCATACAGAGCGAGCTGCGGATTTCACGCGCTCAAACACTATCAAACTGACAAGATCGTTCACTATCTATAGCCGGGTACCCATTTCCACCTGTGGAAAATTTGTGAAAAGTTCCTTTCCCAAGGACACAACGTCGGGCCCCTAACGGGATTCGAATCCACAACCTTACGGTTGCGAGTCCGAGAGCCTAACCACTTGGCCACCGACACAAAAATAATGACCATATACAGATATATGATACCAATGTGGTTTTGTAAATCTTTATTAATCGATATCAGTAACTGATGCCTATGCTCTTGAAAATGAGGGCTTTTATCATGTGTATGAATATTATGTTTATGGGTTAATTTGTTTTCTTTAATTCATTCATTTCATAGTGAAATACTCATGCCAGTGCCCACTCACTGTTATAGAGTCTTTCAATCTCGTCCTGCAGCACCATGTTGCTGCTATTTGCTCTTTCCTGAAAATGGACAAAAAAAGAAACAGAAAACTTATATGTGAGGCATTGTGGTGAAATCAGGCGCTCGTCAAAATAAAGAAATCAAGATAATCGGCATTTTTGTTGCCAGTTTGGCAATTTTTATCGATTTTGGGAGGGGAACTCAACACATCTTATGTCTATTCAAAAATACATATACTCATAATTATGTAGGCCTATGGATTTTACTGAAAAAAAATGTAAGTTTCAATTCCAGGGACTCTTAAAGCTATATGGAAGGGGGGTGGAGTGGCGATTTAAGTCAGAGGTAGCAAAAAAATCAGTTTTAAGATTAGAAAAAATAAGATAAGATCAAGATTAATCTTCATTATCCAGGTGCTGGCACATAGCGGTGTTTCACCACATTGACGAGCTGCCTAATATAAAGTAAAGACTACTTGACTAACAGACTGACAAAGAGTTTTTAAAAAAGAGAATAACTTACAACTGCTTGCTGCATCCGCAACGTTTCCATACTCTGCAACTGCTCTGCTTTCCTACGTAGCTCCGCCTGTTCTTCCATTTGTTGCTCCATGTTGTGAAGCTGCTGTTGAAGTTTTGCCATCTTCCGGTCCGCCACACGGTTGCGGTCCGGCATCTTGATGTGAGCCATTATTAGTTACTTCCTGTTCCGAAAGAAAAATGAGGAAAGAGAGAGGACAATAATAAATTTAAGCCCTTTAGTCCTTTTTTCCCCGTATACTTTCTCCTTAAAGAGTGTAAACATAGCTAGTCAAAGCACAGGCATTTTGTCATGACTTGGAGGAATCAGGTGTTAGAGAATTTTTGGGCAAGTGGAGCTATTGGTATCATCTTAAAATTATAGTTCGTTTGTCCTGCTTTTGATGAAAACATTACCAAACTATCTTTAAAAAAAATCCAGATATTTGCAAATCAAGGAGGTGTGGGTCTCCCAGTTTCAGAGGTAAAATTAGCTAGAAAATGCCCGCCAAAGTTTGATGACTTCCAAAGCTTGAGAGTCCTCGGATTATGCAAATTTACACTTTTCATGCCTTTAATCAACATTTTTCATTAACTCATTCGCTACGCCGGGCCGTGGGCAGCGGCGCAATGAAAGTGACTTCGCTATGACAAGCCACCCCTGACGGCTCGAGAACCGACCAACAATTCTAGCTTAGATTTTATTCCAATCCACATATCCATGTTAAAATAAAGATTATAATATGTTGTTGTTGTTGTTAGTGATCCAGTAGCATCTGAGAGTCAACTCTTCAGCATAATGCCATTCTGTAATAGTTGCATGTCTGTTCTAATTGTTGTCTTGAGGAGTAGAGGCAGTTAGATGTGTGAGGTAGCTTGGGAAGAAAACATCCCCTCAAATTGGTTAGTTTTCTACAGAAGAACAGATGATGTTCCACTGTCTCTGAGGGGTAGTCACATACGGGCAGGCAGCTGACTGCTTTACTCAAATTCGGTTGAGATGTTGATTGAGGGGTATATGTTGTGTTCTAAGTTGGAAGATTATGGATTGATCTCCCCTCAACTCATTGATTGGATCTTTGATCAGTGGTTTATTCATGTGGCCATACATTATCCTTCCTGTTGTACCTGTGGCCCATGCATTCATCCAGTCTTCCTTGAGGTTTCACTTGATCATTTGGCAGCAGGTGGTGTAATCAGTAGGAATATCAGGCTGAGGGAGGCTAGCTCATTTCTTTGCTAGAGCATCAGCTATTTCATTTCCCGGTATCCCAGAGTGAGCAGGAATCCATTGTAGGACTACTCTGATATGGTGCCTACTTACCAAATGATGTAGACTCCAAATCAAGTGTGATATATCTTTGTTCACATTAGTCCCACTTTCAAGTGTTTCTAGTGTTGAAAGGCTGTCCGCAGGAGATAAGACGAAGAGCTTGGTTTTGGATGGTGTCCATTGAGTTCTTTGTAGTTTTATGCACATGTTTTGTAAAACAAGATGATAATCAAAAACAGCTCTAGTATATCCTAAATAGAGGACTCTCAAGGAGTTCTTGTCTGATCCCCAGTCCGTACTAGCTAGTCGTTTGATGAGATTACGTCTCTCCATAGCCTTCTACCTAAGGTTGTTGGTGTGTTGTTTCAAGTCGAGCTTACTGTCAAGTTGTACTCCAAGATACACTGGGTTATTTTCTTTGTTCAAGTTGGTACCATTTATTTTGAGAGGGATTTCTTCATTTGCAAGGTAAAGCTTCTTGTAAAAACAGAGACAGTTTTTTTCGCAATTTACTTTCATCTTCCATAAATGGCAATAGGTTCCTAGGGAATTTAGATCATCGAGTAGTCTTCGTCTGCGTATTGTTGTTGAGTCTCTAGTGTGCCAAAGGAGCAGGTCATCAGCAAAAAAGGCTTTTTCTGTTTTGAGAACATCTGAAACATCATTGAGGAAGACAAGGAATAAGGTACAGCTGATGGAAGATCCCTGTGGGAGTCCTTCCTCAAGTACTGCTTTTGAAGATAGGGTTTCATTCATCTGGGTCTAGATCATTTTATCTATAAGAAATGATTTAATCCTGGAGTACATATTTCCCTTGATTCCCATGTTCTGCAGTTTTAAGAGTAGTCATTTCCTCCACACTCTATCAGAGGCCTGTTGGAGATCCACAAACACAGCCGTTGTTTGTTCCCCTCTTTGAAATCCATCAATGATTTTCGGTGTAAGCCTGAGGAGCTGGTCTTCTGTCATGCCTTTTGACCTGAACCCTGCTTGATTCTGGGAGATCAGACCTGAAGATTCAAGCCACCAATAAAGATGAGAATTGAGGATTCTTTCACAGAGCTTGCCAATACTGGACGTGAGTGATATTGGACGGTAGTTTTTAGGCTCATTTGCCTTCTTTCCTTTCTTTAAGATTGGGTTTATAGTAGCTAGTTTTCATGCTTTAGGTAGATTTACCTCAGTCCAAGTTCTGTTATAGAGCTTGAAAAGTAGCAATTTGGCTTTTTCACCAATGTATTGCAGCATCTCATTGTGTACTTTATCAGGACCTGGGCTTTCTCTCTTCTTCAGTTTCTTGATTGCAAAGTCCAACTCTCGTTTAGTTAAGAAGTCCTGGTAGATACTCGGTGTCATCCAGTCTTTCTCTTTTTCTTTCAGAACGCTCAGTGCACGCCTGTCCAGGTCATTCCTTTTACGGCTTTTGTTAATCTAGCATTTGCGTATGTTGCCACTTTTTTGTTCAAAAGTTGCTGCAAAAAGTGGCAAAAGTTGCCAAAAAAGTTGCCATTAATTTTCAAGCTTTCAACTCTCTGTCACGACGTATAAATCAATAATTGATAGAGGTAACTTCATCTGAAGCACCAGAATTTCTTGTGCTCTGTTTTAAGCATCCAGAATATCATTTGTAGTCACCCAGTGTATAAAATCGTGAAAAATAAAGGTTTCACAACAGAATGAAATCAATATTAGAACAGCACGGATAAATAACCACAAAAAGGAACAAATTAGGGCGCGTGTCCACCAATTCGAAGATTGGCTGTTTTAACCCTAAACGTGTGTAATTCAAGAAAAAGTAGGCCTACAGGATTTTAGGTGTAAATTATGGAATCACACACAATTGGGGCGTGCCAGTGTCAGTAATCGGTTTTGGTGGAGACACGTTCTAACATAACACATTTATATTTTTAAAGGGTAGGAACAGAATCAAATTAAATGACATTACGCTGTATAACAAATAAACACACACAAAAAAAAACCCATATCATCAGAACAATTTTTAGAAAAATTAACACACCAACAAATTAAAACACAACAAAGAGGGAAAAACAAAAGACGAACAGCAATATAAACAGTATGTAACGTAATATACTTATATTCTCGGCATGAAAATAGACACACATGGGCATCGTAAAACTTATCAAAACGCATGTCTAATATGTTATGAAATAGCTTTGTTGTTTTGTCTTTTTTTGAAAATGCGAAAATCGCGGCCCGCAGCCTCAACAAACGCAGATGCTAGGTTAATTGAGGCAAAAAGTTTGTTAAAGTGTTCTGCTTTTTTAACTCGGAGGTGAGAAGTTCAGTTTCTGTGCGTAGTGGTATGGGGTTTTCTTTCCTTTCTTTTCCCCACTGAGGTTATTTAGAAGTGACCAGGCTTCACGTCCACCTTGATGTAAATTGAGTCCCTCACACTTCTGTGTCCAGGCTTCCTTCTTAGATTCCTTGGTAACAAGTTTAGCCTCTGCTATAGCCTTTTTGTATCTAATTTTCTGGTCCATATTTTTTAGATCAGTCTCATATTCATGTCTGGCATCATTTTTAGTTTCTGTAGCTTTCTCCAAGCGCTCATTTCAAAAGGGTTTATGGTTGGTTCTGCACCCCTGTGGGATACTCTTTCTTTTGCAACCAGGGTTGGTGATTTTTTTGATTTTTTAAATACAAATTTTAAAAATTGATTTTTTAAATTTAAATCAAGATTTATTTTATTTAAATCGGATTTTTTTTTTTTTTTTTTAATGTCGACACAGTTTGGGATTTTTGGTTGCTAAAAGTATGTTCTTTTACTGCAAAATGCATTGTCTTTATTTTAACTAATGTTTAATTTAAGCAACCGCAAAAGAAAACCTTAATCTGCTATATATATATATATATATAGTGAAAAAATGAAGAAAATGTCAGTCTAAAAGGAAGGGGGGGGGGGGGGATAGCATAGATAAACTTGCATTTTATTACAGTGTGTGTGTGTGTGTGTGTGTGTGTGTGCGCGCGCGCGCTTGTGTTTGTCTAAAAAGAAAAAGAAAATGTTTATTTCAATAATGAAAAAAAAAGTAAATTGAATACTGTATTATTTTACAGTGACAGGGGGAAAGCAGACTTTTAAGCATGATTATATTAGTCTACTAAACCTTATATCTGTTTTGTAAAACCAAGGAAAGAAATTCTGAATGTTTAAAGATGTAAAAACAGAATACATTTTTAAAAGTGATTTAAAGCACTGAGTTTTATTTTTAAAATCAAGTTGGTTTAATTTTTTTTTTAATCAACTGATTTAAATCGACCCAACCCTGATTTCAATTATGAAAAAAAAGTCAATTGAATACTGTATTATTTTACAGTGACAGGGGGGAAAGCAGACTTTTAAGCATGATTATATTAGTCTACTAAACCTTACATCTGATTAATAAAACCAAGGAAAGGAATTCTGAATGTTCTAATATGTAAAAACTGAATACATTTTTTTAAAGTGATTTAAATCACTGATTTTCATTTTAAAAATCAAGTTGATTAAAATATTTAAAAAATCAACTGATTTAAATCAACCCAGCTTTGATTTCAATTATGGAAAAAAAAGTAAATTGAATACTGTATTATTTTACAGTGAAAGGAGGGAAAGCAGACTTTTAAACATGATTATATTAGTCCACTTAACCTTATATCTGTTTTATGTAACCAAGGAAAGGAATTCTGAATGTTGAAATATGTAAAAACTGAATAAAAATAAATTTTTTTAAAAAGTGATTTAAATCACTGATTTTTATTTAAAAAATCAAGTTGATTTAAAATTTAAAAAATCAACTGATTTAAATCAACCCAACCCTGTTTGCAACATCTAAGATGGCGGAGGTGAGTTCACTATTAAGGGCGTCTATACTTTTATTGTCTAGATCATCCAGCTTAACGGTGTCCTCAGCTGTTTTTTCTGAAGAGATCCCAGTTTGCCTTCTTGGAGTTCCAAAAGGTTCTTCTTTTCGTTTGTCTGTGTCTCAATATACTGATTTTGGTGAGAACGGGACGATGGTTACTAGATATACAGTCTAGCACCTCTTCACTGCAGTAGTTGTGTAGATCAGCAGAGACCAGGGTGAGATCTGGTCTGTGGAGGGTCCCATGCCTCCTATGAAGAAGGGTTTTAGTTGAATCCTCATCTTGGAGAAAGATAAGGTTAGAGGATTGACATAGTTCTTCAATCCTTTTACTGTGTTGTTTTGGTCAGAGTAGCCCCAAAGGGGGGAGTGTCCATTAAGGTCACCAGCTATGACCGACTTCTTAAAGATAGTACTCTGTTCCAGGAAGTTCAGAGTGCTACTTGGGGGACAATGGGAGTCATAAAGTTGCCATACCACTGGCGTCTGTGGGGTGACAATTAAGGAGCTCGCTATTTCATTCTGGATGTCATTTCTGATATAGGTTATAATCCCTCGGCAGCCTTCACATTGGAAGGATAAGAGGTATACCCAGTGATGTTTATGTCACAGGATGAATGGAGAGTTTCCTGTAATAGAGCAATGTGCATATGTGGGTTTTCCTTTCTTACAAAATTTTCCCCATTTGTGTTTTTTTCTTTTTCAAGCCAGAGGCTATTTGCTTGAAGAATATGGAAGACTATAAGCTTCTCTTTTCCATTGAATTACTAGTTGCAGGGCGTATTTTCTGCTAGTTTTTCCATCTCTGTTTTCTGATTTTCTTTTTCTTCCAATAACCATCCACTAGGCCAGCTTAGTTGCCCACTAAGACCTGGAGGAGACCTTCATGATTACCGAGGCCGCGTCTCGGCTCGAATGGGATTCTGTCATTTGTGAATAGCATCTTAAACTGGTGGTTCAGGGATTTTCCTTCCATCCTGGGGTATATATGATTGACTGCCAGGTCAAGCGTTTCCACCAAAAATCGGAAGTTTCGATTCAGTTTTGAAACGCGATTCTAAGTTTATGCGACTTTGTTTTATCGCGATGCCCAAATTATAGCCTAGACACCAGTCTTAGTACTTTTACACAACAAAATGTTGACACATATTATGCACTTTGATAGTTGCAAAATCAGACACAAACAATAGAAATAATGAGCAAACATTAACAAACAGCACAAGGGCAGGATATATGTGCAAATTGGCCAAAGAGATGCTGCGTTCATTGGTAATTTAAGTTAGAAAAAAAAAGAAAAAGTCAAAGAACTCTCACCCCCTTTTCCTTCCACACACACACACACACACACACACACACAGTACACACACACACACACACACACACACACACACACACACACACACAAACACATAAATACAGAACAGACACATGAATGATTACTTTGCAATCAATTCGAATTCGGAGAAAACAGATCGTTAGGTTATAGATCTAGATCTAGATATCTAGTAAAACAGAAAACATTCCGCTTACCTTTACTATCAGGGTTTCATATTAATACAGATGTTAACCGTGACAACGTTATCATCATTCAGCATCGGAGTTTATATCTCAAAATGAAGACTCCCACTCAATGGCGATGAAACCACTGCCAATATGACAACGGTTCGCCATTTGTAAACAAAATGCCTGTGTAATCGCGCGGTGTTGCGTTTACTTTGGTCCTAAAGTGTCACGGTGTCGTAGACGTTTTTCACGCATACATTTTTTTCAGCGAAAAAATTCACGGGCTTATATTTTTCGCAAGACTGTTATGCACGATGGAACGAGGTTTACGCAGTATGAAAGTTTATTAATGTCAGAAGAAAATATTTGTGTGCTACGAATACTGCAGATTTTTTCCCCCAGTTTACTTTATGTAAAGACTGTATTCGTGTAGATATCACAGAGACGAAAACAATGTGTCCTATTGTTAAAATTATACGGCACGGTACATGAATGTTGTAATCTAGAGCCCCCCATCCCCTCCGCCCTCCCAAAACACAAACCAAATTGGGACGGAGTGTTAAGTTAAACAGTGCTGTGATTGGTTGTGATTCGTAAACATTTTACTTAGATCTACTTTACTTTATCCGTCCTCTTGTACCTCATCTAGGGCGTCAGGGGCAGAAAGAGCTCCCTGTCTCTAGCAAGTTTGATGGCCTGGCTGGGTGGGATATTGTATGTTCTCACACCCTGGATCCAGGTCTTTCTTGATCTTCCTCTTGCCATGTATCCTGATACTTTTTGTACATGTAGTAGGCTTTTTCGGCAAGCTGGTGGTGCCACAATTAAGTGTGAGATGTCCAAACCACCTGATTGTTTGCCTCCGAATGTAGTGGATTGGGCAGGTGTTGTTCCCTTCATGTCTCTGATCTTGTTGTTTCTGACTATGTCCCGTCTGGTTTTGTTGACGGCTCTCCTTAGACATCTCACCTCGGAGGTGGTTATTTTACGTTCCAAACTTTTGGTCAGGGTCCATGTCTGGCACTGGTAAGTCAATGTGGGTATGGAGATAGAGAGAACGAGTTTGGCTTTGGTCTCAGTGGGGATGTTAGGACGTTTGAGGAGAAGGGCAAGCTGGTGTAGCTGACGCTGTTAAAGCCTTTTCCCAAGATCTTTGCGTACATCTTGCCTGTTTGGCTCAGAAGGGAAATTCCTCGGTAGGTGTAAGTCTTTCTTGCAGCCGTTCTTCTTCCAGATTGGTATTTAAAAATTCATAAGCATCGCCCTTTCAAAACAGAAACTGTGTTTCAGAATCTTTGTTTGATTTTTTATTATTATTATTATTATTATTATTATTATTATTATTATTATTATTATTATTATTATAGTAGAGGGTTTAACGGCGCTCGCGGCTGCATAAGGTCATATGAGCGCCAAGGGTGGGTGTCAACAGAGAAGTCTTTACAGGGAATCAGACTTAGACTGCTCACCTCTCTAGCTTCAACAGCACAAGGTCTGCTTCAACTATCAAGGCACCACGGAAATAGCTGGTCACAAGAGAGTGACAAACATACAAAAGAAGTAGAGGAAAATGACATGTAGTAAGGATTAGGAAAGAAAAAGCAGCAGTTCCCTGTTGTAGATCAAGCACAGTTATGAGCGTGACATGAATCAGCCCATTTACAATTCTACTGTGCTTGAACGAGAAATGTCCCCCCTTTGGGAATGGCCTAAAGACACTACAGCCAGTGGCACTGCCCGGGGGGGGGGGGGGGTTGTTTGATTAGTTTGTTTGAAAAATCTAAAGAGAAGCATATATATCGGATGTCGACTCCATAACGACCACTTAGCACAGGGACAAAAGCAAGATAGCCAGACAAAAATAAGTGCGAGAATGAAAAGTAATCAACCCGTTGCACCCTCCAACCACCCATGTTTTAAGGGCGTGCCAGAGAACAAAATATTAAGTTGCGAAAGCCTCTTTAGGCTCTTTGTAATAAACATTCTTTCTCGCCACGGATTGACTTCTCAAATAAATATGATATTTAGAACTCCGTTTCCTAGATAGCCTCAGCAAAGATTCTTACTACCCGATCCATCAACTATACACGGTCTTATTGGTCTGTCTTGAGGCCGAAGTGCATCTCATCTTCTCGTGAAGCAGAAATGCATTTCTTTAGGTTAATGTCTCCCACCATCTCGCAAAGTAGGTGGGGAGTAAAGTAAACCCCTACAACTGCCACCGTGTTTAAGATCGCCCTGTACCAGGCCTACATGTTTTGTTTTAGTAAGCGTTTCACGAAACTTGTAACACAATTAGGTAAAAAAAATGCCGAAGATTAGAGGAGTTACAAGACAGAAACAAACACAAAATAAACAAAAAGAGAGATAAGAACGATGGATGTTTGATAGGATAGAAGAAGCAAACCACATAGCAGCGGCCGCCAACCAATCACAAATCACACACATGATATTGTCCAGCATGATACAGACACAGCAAACTGATGTTCACAATCTGAGTGAGTTGATTCATTGCTATGAGGATTTTTTACTTCACAATCTGAGTGAGTTGATTCATTGCTATGAGGATTTTTTACTTCAAAATCTGAGTGAGTTGATTCATTGCTATGAGGATTTTTTACTTCACAATCTGAGTGAGTTTATTCATTGCTATGAGGATTTTTTACTTCACAATCTGAGTGAGTTTATTCATTGCTATGAGGATTTTTTACTTCACAATCTGAGTGAGTTTATTCATTGCTATGAGGATTTTTTACTTCACAATCTGAGTGAGTTGATTCATTGCTATGAGGATTTTTTACTTCACAATCTGAGTGAGTTGATTCATTGCTATGAGGATTTTTTACTTCACAATCTGAGTGAGTTTATTCATTGCTATGAGGATTTTTTACTTCACAATCTGAGTGAGTTTATTCATTGCTATGAGGATTTTTTACTTCACAATCTGAGTGAGTTTATTCATTGCTATGAGGATTTTTTACTTCACAATCTGAGTGAGTTTATTCATTGCTATGAGGATTTTTTACTTCACAATCTGAGTGAGTTTATTCATTGCTATGAGGATTTTTTACTTCACAATCTGAGTGAGTTTATTCATTGCTATGAGGATTTTTTACTTCACAATCTGAGTGAGTTTATTCATTGCTATGAGGATTTTTTACTTCACAATCTGAGTGAGTTTATTCATTGCTATGAGGATTTTTTACTTCACAATCTGAGCGAGTTTATTCATTGCTATGAGGATTTTTTACTTCACAATCTGAGTGAGTTTATTCATTGCTTTGAGGATTTTTTACTTCACAATCTGAGTGAGTTGATTCATTGCTATGAGGATTTTTTACTTCACAATCTGAGTGAGTTTATTCATTGCTATGAGGATTTTTTACTTCACAGTAATCATAGATGCTTTTTTTTTATCATGTTTGGAAAATACAGATTCTTAAAAAAAAAAAAATTAGACAAATATTATAAATGCACGTGCTCGTTACACCATATGAGCGCCAAGGGGTGGGTGTCAACAGAGAAGACCTTACAGGGAATCAGACTTACTCTGCTCACCTCTCTAGCTTCAACAGCACAAAGTCTGCTTCGACTTCGACTATCAAGGCACCCGGGAAATAGCGGGTCACAAGAGTGTGACAAACATACAAAAGAAGTAGAGGAAAATGACGATAGTAAGGATTAGGAAAGAAAAAGCAGCAGTTCCCTGCTGTAGTTTAGGCAGGCAGTTATGAGCAAGACATTGTTGGATCAGCCCATTTACAATTCTACTGTGTATTAGAACGAGAAATGTCCCCCCTTTGGGAACGGAGTTTGATAGGAAAGAAGGAACAAACCAAACCAGAGCACCCTCCAATCACCCACTTGGTACACAGAAAACAAAGAAAGCACTGTACTTAAACAAAACATATTTCATTAAACTGAAGTTCATGATGAAAAAGAGAGACCTTTGTTTGAAGAATAATCTTTATTTTATCTATTATTAGAGCTATTTTATCCAATAATTGTATTCAAGCAAATTATGCAAAATAACAAACACAGACAAACAAGAAAAAAGTATACGTGTAAGATAAAGATTTTCAGTAATTGCTTCAAGTTTTAACAAGGAACCATGCATGTGATAGAAATAAATGTTACCAGCCAAAAGCGCACCAGGCGCAGTAAAAGAAAAACATATATATTATTTATATATTTATATATATATATATATGTAATTATGTACCATCATAAAATGTAGGCCCTATGTATGTGTAGTGTATGTGTATGCATGTGTATGCCTTTTTTCAAAGTAACAACTGCAGGTATAAAAATTTTAAACAGTAACAGCAGACAATTCATTTTACACATTTTGTGTTTAACACATGCCACAAGAGTATGACACAGTAAGGCGATAGGTCAAACATTCAGAGAAAATACAATGTCACATATGGGTTTCTGCATCCAGGCAAAATATCTCAGGATGAGTCGACTACAGGCTCAACTAACACGGCAGCAGATTTTACAAACATTTGTGAGACGGTGTGGTGAAATCAGACGCTTGTCAAAATAATGAAAGTGAAGAAACTGGCATTTTTCCGCAGGTCAGGGAATTTTTATAGAATGTTTGTTTTTCGGCTCAACACCATTTATGGCATTAAAAAACATTTCAGTGTGGATTTTACTGAAAAACAATGATTAAATACATAAAAGATGTTCATTTTCAGTTTCCACGGACTCAAAAGCAAAGGAAATAACTAAACTTTGGAGGCCATTTTCTCGATAATTTTTACCTCTGAAACCAGGCGACCACACCTCCTTCAATCGCAAATATCTCGACTTGTATCAAAGATAAATGGGTAGGCCTAATGTATTCATCAGAGGCAATGCCAATGGACAGGCTTTAAGATGATACCACATACTCCATATTCCAAAAAAATTGACGAGCGCCTGATTCCACCGCGTCGTGACACATTTATGTTAATCATTCAAGAAAGAGGACTCTGCTGACGTTTACACAGCTTGAGCAAAATTAACTTTCCAAAGATGCTCTTGAAAGTTTCTAACTGTAGAAGAATCAATAACAGATTGTTACAGAAAAACGTCCTAAGACGGAGGGCTCTTCTACAAATTAGAACTGCTAAGTTACAAACAACATAGACGACATATGCATGGGACTTAAGGGGCTTTTGTCTTG